CAAATGGGGATGAGATGAAGCAGTATTCACCTTTGTTCCTTCCTGTCTACTATGCACCTCCTGGCCCCCACAGGAAGACAGCAAAAGCAACAAAACTGAAATAAAAATGTAATTCAAGATATGTCACAAACTTACGAGAAAGTGAGAATGAAAAAATTGAATCTTCAGAATGAAAGAGATTCATTGACAGGCTAACTACAAAAATACTGTAGCAAGTAACTGATATTCAGCACAAAGTTGAAAGGACATTTAGTTAGCAAAGATGGACAAAAATGCAACACCCCTCAACACAACACAGCAAGACACCCAGCAGAGGACAGCCACTACCTGGCCCAAAACACTAAACTGGGAAATTAACAGAGCAAAATTCTCATAGAAAGAATAACACAAATATTGTGTACCCTCAAGTATAATATTAAAACAGAAAGGGGTAAATGAACTTTCCAAGACTCAAGAACCAGCTGATCTTGAAGGCTTACTACAGGGCAAACTTCAGACAACCAAGCCCTAAGTGGAGCAACTGCAGAAGAGGGTATGGAGACAACTGAACACATATATCAATAATATAGGGAGATCAGATTAACGTTGAGAGCCAGGCAGGACAGGATGCACGTGCTCTGTGACTTCACTAATCAGGACAGGTTGGGAGTGGGGATAGAGTGAGAGGTCGCAAATGTTCACTCTCAGTGTTTTGTTTGTTTGTTTTTTATTTTATGTATTTGGTACAGCATCTCACTATTCAGCTTGGATTCATAGTGATCCTCCTGTTTTCAGCTTCCCCAACACTGGAATTACAGGTGTGCACCACCATGCCTAGACTCCTTCGCCAGCTCAGCATGTCCCAGGGGTGGGGCTGGTGCAGCATGTGGGACCTGGGATCAAATCCCGGTCTCTGCGCTTGCCTAAGCAGCCACTTAGTCTGCTGAGCTATCTCGCTGGCCCTCACAGTATTGGTTTTACTTATTTATTTTTTAACATTTTCTCAGTGGTGTTTCCCCTAATATTTGAGTACAGCAGAATTACATTTGAAGATAGTAAGGTAAACACTAGGAAATACTGTAATAAAATCGAAGCTACGCTGTAGAAGAACTTGAGAGATGAGAAAAAACCGAACTGCATAGAAATATATTAATTGCATAATTGCTTGAGAGAGGGTATCCAGGGATATAGCGAGGAAATAGAAGAGTTGGTACGTTACACAAAGTTCTCCTCATAAAGATAAGCAGAACAAAAATACAAATATTAAAGATTATCAGAGTAACATACTAGGAGGCAAGGAAAACAGACCATATAATGAGAGCTAAGAAAATGTAAGCACAATTAAACTCGCAGCCTACACTGTCCTTAGTAAGGCACATGCGGTCTATTCACCAGTGAAAATTGCCAAACTCACCTTTAGAAAGAAAAGGGCTGCTCAAATACGGCAGTCAACCCACCGACCTGTACCTGGGCTGCTGCAAGCCACGGCCATTCCTTTATTTAATGTCAATCACAACTGACTGGTAGTTGCAAATGTTTATTTTCAAGCTAATGGCCTTTGGCATCACTTGGGGCATCATTAATCCGTTCTTTTCTCATCTCATTGACAATACACAATGCAGTCCAGGAAGCGGCCTCCAAGGGCTGTGGCGTCTTGCTCGCCTCAGCCCTCAGCCCCAGTCAGGGCCTCGAGGCTGGCTCCTGCTCATCTCCCTGAGCTGTGATCACCAGAGCGCCCTTTGGTCTGGTGCGGGAGTTGTTTCTCTTTTCTATTCACACTTGCTGCCCCAGTGATTTCCATTCTGTGATTTCAAAATATCAACAGTACGCTGACATTGACCTATACGAAATACTATCCATCTTCCAGCCTCCGCACTCAGGCAGGACGTCCCGGCCCCTCTGCACCTGCACCCAGCCCAAGCCCCTAACTGCGCACCCCACATCACGGTGCGCCAGAGCCAGGACCCAACAGCCTAGGGCTACGTTCCCCGCTGACTGTGCGGCCTGTGACAACCAGAAGGAGGCCTGTCTGGGGGGCCCTAACCACAGTGGCAACCCCTTGTCCCATGTGTCCAATGTCCACAGTTGTTCCTTCCTGTAGCACCTGTCATAATCAAGTAGGTTTTGCAAACAGATAAGTAGATGACAGCAGAAGACAAGGAGAGAGCATAAGTCATATGACGCTGCATTCCAGGCATTGCTTCAGCATTTTACAGGTATTATTAAA